AAAATATCCATATAGTACAAGGTATGACACGAAAAATGCTATATTTTCCAAAAAAATACGTTTCAGGAATTTTTTTTAATATTACTTGGATTACGACTTACGACAATTATTCGACAAATACTAGTAATGAAAGTTTTAATATTTCAGTTATATTGAAAATTTTACTACAGGTGCTGTGATAACTTTATATCAAGTTATCAGGGCTACCCCTTATAAAAAGAAAGGAGATGCGCGACAATTATTTTTCTTTCATGACAAATTCTTGACAATTATTCGACAATTAAAAAAGTATATTTCAATAATTTTACTGCAAGTTGCTCTGCTAACTTTAGGGAGGTAATATCAACGCATATGTTATTGAAACGAATATATCTGGGCAGTATTCGACAATGAAAAACAAAAAAGGGAATAAAACAAGCGAATACAAAATAACTTTATGGATCATACGAAGCTAAACCACCTCTTATGAAAGGAAAACTGGCAAAATATTTTTTGAACGAAGATGTTCAACATTGCTACAACTTATGCATAGAAAAAATCAATGAGAATATAATGGAAGTGTACAAAAACTATTTTTTTTCTATATTCTAAAAAAAGTAAACCATGGATCACAACAGGGCTCATTAAATCAATCAAATATAGGGACCATTTGAAAAAAAAATTAAACAAAATTTTTCAATCGAAAATGAAACTGCGTACTTACAATATCGAAATATGCTAAATAGATTACTGAAAGAAACAAAAAATCAATATTATAGAAACAAAATAAATGACGCAGGAAGGAACTACAAACAAATTTGGGAAATTATAAACTGCGCTTCAAATAGTAGGAAATCAAATAAACATGGACTAAAAAACATTCCAATCTATAATAGGGGAGGCACTGAAACTCTAAATAATCTAGATAAAGTAAATATACTGAATGGTTTCTTTACTAACATTGGCAAAGTAAAGTGCAGAAAAAATAAATAAGGATGATCAACTAATGAATTGATTGAAAAACAAAATATTTCATCTACAAGTGAAGTAAGTGAAGCATTTAGTACATGTAGTTTCCTACTTCGTGAGCATTTTTAAGGGTCATAGGAGTGTTTTCAATGGTGTGATTTGTATCGGTGGATTCGTCGAAGTGACCTCTTTGCGATGGTGTATGTTTGGTATGGGAGGAAGAAAAAAACATATTTCTGAAGCAAAAGAACAAATAAAATAGCTTACAAATGAACTATAGTCCGTTCATAATTTGTTAATAGCTCACTGCAAGTTTGACCCTCATTAGAGAACTGAAATACAGAGAGGACACCTAATATGATATAATAACAAAAACCAAACTAAAACTGGCAGTTTAAGATGTTTTCGACTAACCCACCTTGTATCTGAAGAAATACAATACAGCTATAAAACTTTNATAGTCGAAAAGTGAGCTTTATTGAAAATCATAAAGTAATATGCTGTGAAACTGAAAACCTGTCATATAAGGATGAGATCTTGGAAGAAAAGTCATTGTTGGAAGAAAGTGTATTAAAATTGACACAGGAACAAGAAGTACAAAACACATATATAGAAAAGTTGAAGAAGGATGCCAAATTTTATATGGACGAAGCTTTAAATAATGAAAAGGAACTGAGTGAGCTGATAGAAAAACAAAAAAAACATATTTCTGAAGCAAAAGAACAAATAAAACAGCTTACAAGTAAATTAGAAGATGTTCGTAATGAAAATTCAAAATTACAGGAAGTTATTGGTGCTGCAAATGGCAAGCAAATGATAAACATTGGGTGTCAGACAATCCTCCCAAACAGGAAACAAATAGCATGTCAAACAGAACAAACACAAACAGAAAAAAAAGCTAGTGCAACACAATCACTTGAAGATGAAGATTTTTCAAAATACAAAGACCAGAGTACCCCAAGCATACGAAACGACATTCCTGTAATAAAGAGCAGGATGTTGATAGTTGCAGGTTCAAATGGGAAGGATTTAGCAAATATTGTATTAAGGCAATCAAATAAGTATGCCGTACAAGCAATAATAAAATCAAATGCCCCAGATGATGAACTCATAAAAACTGCTGTATACTATTCTTCTAGCTTTACAAGAAACGACATTGTGCTCATATGGACTAAAATCCTCCATCTTCAACTTATCGAGACATATATCGAGAAACTAATGCATACAAACCCTATAATCATCACTAGACCATACAGATACGACCAAATATATAAAAACCATGGAATATATATGGAAAACTTAGCATTCGTCAAGGCTGTGTTTAATAGAACCAATGAACTTGGGCTTGTTTTTGAATGTAATTCTGCACTAAGGAAGACAAATTATCACACAGATGGATTCACTATAAATAGGATTGGAAAGTGGTATCTAATGCAATCTCTACTTCGCCATGAAGATAAGCACCTTACTGGGATTAACAAGTTTATGGAGACATGCTGTGTATCTGAAGAAAAAGAAAATGAAGTAGTACAAACATACTCTAAACCAGATGCAGAAACAAACAACAAAAAACTTTCAGCGAGTTTAGAAAACAATACTATTTCTAGTGATATTTTAGTGAAGAACTCAACTGTTGAGGGGACAAACAAACAAGATAATTTTTTATACCCCAGACTATCACAGCTCAATCTGCAACAAGTGTAACAAAGGTTCTACTAAATAATATAAACGTTAGTAAATGTTAGTAAAGGTGATAGTGTGTGTCATGTATATGTCCAGGGATTTGTTAACAACTATATCTCTATCGAGATTTTTGCTGATGAAAATATATTAGATTTTTTATGTTTTTCTGAACACTGGATAACAAAAGAGTAGCAGATCACAGTCGGTTCTGGGCCTCCCCCCACCACTATGACGTATTAATTGCTTTTTTTGTTGTTGTTTGGTAACATCAAGGCGATGTGACCTTGAAGGGTCTGGTGCATGGATCGTTCAGAATTTTTTTTTTCATATGAGATTTTTGGGTGTGTGTGTGTGTGGCATAGTGACGTAATTACATTTGATTGGTGTGTGTGTGTGTGTGTGAGTGAGAATGCACGGTACAGGGTTTCATCATGTGCTTGTCTATGTACAAATATACGTCTGCATACTTCGAAGATCATTCAAGTAATGAATGTTCCATCGGTGTGAGCCCACCAAGTTAGTAGTGGTGTCACGTCACAGCAGCATCCGTCCAACGGTAAGAGAGCAAGATGTTCACTCCACGACGTGTGGCTGAGTAATGCGTATTCATCGGTCTGCCCTCACCTCTCTCGATGCGCTGAAGGCTGTGACGTAACGCATCGCTCTAGCCCCGCTATCGATGGTGACACGCAGGCGGCCGAGGACTGTCTGCCTAACGTCTACCCTCTAAGAGAGCGCAACGACCACTGCCTGTTCGTATCG